TAAGGAAAATATCAATTCTCTCTTTAAAAATAAGAGTTGTGCAAACAAGTAAATTTTTATGGCATCGTTATCAAAGTTTAAAAATATAGGGAGACATTCCCGCCAGCCAGGCCTCATATTGCACTCCCTGTCCCCACCCCCAACATGGGGCACCTGAGACAAAATTATATTCACGGTAAACATTTTTTCTTTCCGGCAGTGCTGGGAATTGAAACAGGGCTCACATGTGCCAGGCAAATGCTCTACCCCTGAGCTGCAACCCAGCCTGGCTCTTTCTTTTTGAAGGTACCAATGTGGGGGGATTGTGTTATACTGAGCAGGGCACTGCCTGAGGACCATGGTGACTGGTTCAGCTTTGGCCCAGCCTCTTGCTGTGTGGCCATGGGTGAGTTACTTTCCCTCTCCAGGCCTCAGATTTCTTGCCTGTGAAGTGGGAGAGTTCAGACGGGAGCACTCAGGTCTTCTGCCACAGCTGTGGCCTAGGGCTGGACCAATTAACTGGTGAGCATCTGGGGCTGGAGCAGATGACTAGGGAGCACGTGTGCTTGGCTGCCAGGCCTGAGCCCTGAGTTCACCCAGCCCCTGACTTTCCAGAAAAGTGGCCGCCTACTGAGAGCAGCCTTTGTGACTCGTTCCCAAACATCTGGAGGGGAGTCAGTGCCTGCAGTGTCCCCAGCACAGTTTGCCTGCCCTGCAGATGCCCAGCTCCTCCTAGCCAGGGTCCCATGAGGACTGCTGCACCACGGCCAGGCCAATGCTGGGGGGAGGGGGCCAGCCTGTGTGCGACAGCAGTGGTCTGGGGCTCAGGGCTCTCTTGGGCCTCGGTTTCCCCTCTGCTTAAAGTTCCCCCGTGTCTACAATACTTCATGATTCCAAGTCTGATACCACTCCTGAAGAACCCCCGCTGGCCTCCTGCTAGCACTTGAGCAAATAGATAAAAATATTTATAAATAGATAAAATCTGTTTGTAAAGAGTGAACACTAAATATGTCCTTTAAAAAAGAAAATTTAGTGTCCATTTATGGAAATGTGATCTACTTTGAAGGCACTTAGGAACCATCCCAGAATCCCCCTGGGAGGAAGAGATATTTCTGACTCTGGGACCCAACATGGAGTCACCTTGGCCACATCCCAGGTAGTGCATGGAGCCCACGTGCCTAGACCTGATCTAAAGGCCAGGCTGGTGGCCTGGGCCCTGGGACCCCAGGGGGTGCAGGTGAGACATTCATGGTCCAGTGACCTGGCTGCCTCCAGTGCCCCTGTGGGAAGGGGAAGGAGCACCCTTCGGACAGGCTGCGCTCCGAGGCTGAGTCTTGTCTGCGTTGGACCCTCCGTCCCTACCTCAGTGTGGCCAGAGCTCCCCTTCAGCTCAGCTTCTAGGTGACAACACTCAGTCCCACGGCTGCAGACGTCACACAACTCTCCCTGCAGCTGCCGGGGCTGCTACCTGGGAGCATTTCACCCTCATGTCGAAATAAAAAGTAAAGCCTATCTCCTTCCCTTCTTCCTGAACAAGACACAGACAAAATCTAAGCCCATCCGGAACGCGCCGGGGACACCCGCTGTGGGTCTGTGCTCTCAGAACGCCGGCGCTTGGTGCCACCCTTGCTCAGTGCCCCCTTACGCTGTGCTCTCCTAGTTCTGTGTCTGCTCTTCAGGGTTCGTCCCCGCCTCCCTGAATGTCACTGCCTCTTCCACCTCCCACTACCCCCACGGTGCCCTCTCGCACCCTCACTCTCTCTACCTCTCTTCCAAGCTTTAAGACGAAGTCAGCGTGTTTGTTCTCACCCTGCGTAAAGCAAGAGCTCCTGAGCTCCCAGCGAGCGAGGGTCTGTTCTGCTCTCCTGTGCTCACAGCTCTGACACCTGGGTTGGGGACTGGCTTCTGGGTGAGAGTTTGTCATAACGTTGTGTGCAGCTATTCCTGCTTGTCAGGGCCGATGGCAGGCCAAGGCACAAATGCCGCAAAGTCCCCCTGGAGAAGGACACTGATAGGAACCTTGCTAACTAGAGAGACATCACATAGGAAGTTGGACATACTGAGCGTTTACATAGGTGTATATAAAAGTCCTAGACGTTGTCCCGAGTCATACACATACACATTTAGGTATAAACGGACGATGACCACTGTATAAAAAGCGAGTTTGTTCTGGAAACCCTGGCGCGGGATTTATGCCCAGGCAGCTCTGTGGTCTCTGGCCTGCCCGGTTCCAGTTTCCCCAGCAGGCAACCTCAGGAGGGGCCCTGGGACTGCTGGCGGTTGGGAAAGGACGTCACCTGCGTGCCCCAGTGGGCTAGGTGGGCGGAGGGCCACTATAGCGCAGCATGAGCGCGAAAGAGCGGGCGAAGTTGTTGGCCTGGGTGCAGCTGCGGTCCTCTTCCCCCACCGGGAGCAGGAGGAGGAAGAGCAGGAAGAGCAGGAATAGCATCTGCAGCGGGAGCGCCACGCAGCACGCCTTCCAGAGGAGCCCGCAACGCTGCCGCCGCCACCACCGCCGCGTCTGCAGACACCAGACAGAAGCACAAGGGACGTGAGCATCTGGGGACAGGGTGCGGGGTCGGGGGACGCCCAGGGTGGGGAGGACGCACTGGCTGACCTGTGACCCCTGGCATCTCAGTTGCTCACCTGTGATAAGGGACTGACACGGTGTGGACGTGAGGTGTCCCCCAAAAGCTCACACGTGAGACAACGCAAGGTTCAGAGGGGAAATGACTGGACTGTGAGAGTCAGTGAATGAATCCCTGGTGGGACTGACTGAGTGGTATCTAGAGGCGGTGGGGCGTGGCTGGAGGATGTGGTCATTTGGGGCCGTGGCTATGGGTTCCTATTTTGTATCTGGAGCTGGAGACCCTCTGCTTCCTGATCAGGGTGATGTCGCTGCCTCCCTCCACTACCCTCTCCCACCGTGATGTTCAGCCTCACCTCAGCCCTTCTATGGACTAAGACCTCTGAAACTGTCAGCCCTTGAACAAACCTTTCCTCCTCTACAACTGGTGCATTTCACCAGGGACAAAGATCTCAAACCATTCGCGGAGGGAAAGGAAGAAATGCAGTGTAACTACAGGCTTCACCGTGGTGGCATAAGCCCTGGCTTGGTGCACGGGTCCCCACCAGACAACAGTTTGACTTTTCAACGATTTTTCAACTTTGCAATGGTATGAAAGCAATGTCTGTTCAGCAGGAGCCACAGCTCGGTTTCTGGATTCGGCTCTGTTCCCAGGCTGGAGCACACAGCTCCACACTCCTGGGCAGCACAGCCGGTTAGCTGCAGCTCAGATGGCTGACACTCCTCAGTGTCAATACAGTTGCTTCAATGATTGAATGAGACAGAGCCTGGCGTGTGGAGGTCCTCCAAAGCCATAGCTGTCATTGTATATGTGGCTCCGACTGTTGGCATCTAAATACCGCCATCACCACCATCACCACTGTGACCACCATGGGCAGCCTCTCCCTCAGCCACAGGCTCCCCTTTCCCTTTCTTCTTCTTCTCTCTTTCTTCCTCTTCACCATCATTTCACCGTCAGTGTCACCTGAAGGTCAGTCTCACAAGTTCCAGTGCCTGAGGGATTTCTCTGTTAGATGTCCATGTCCATGAAAGGACCCACAGGACATTTCCTAAATCTACAGGGCCTGGCTGGGTTGTAGATTTGTGGATGTTTTCATGGCCTAGGAGTGTGGGGACGAGACTTGGTCACTCAAGACCATGAAGGCCCTCATGGTCAAGGTGTAGTATGGCACAGGGTCCAGCTCTGAGGGGCCTGGCAGAGTGGGTCCCAGTGTAGGCTCCACCACACCCTAGATATGTGATGTGGGCGGGTCAGTAACCTCTCTGGGTCTCTGTGTCCTTCTCTGTAAATCAGGGATAAAATGCCTCCCCCTTCTGCTGGGTTGTGGTGCAGACTCAAAGCCAAGCACATGGCTACGACTATTAAGAACTGAGCCAACTCACAAGAGCCGACTATAGAACCAACCCAGGTGCCCATCAACAGGACAAAGAAAATGTGGTATATGTGCACAATGAGGATTGCTCAGTCACGAAGAATGAAAGTGTGGAATTTGCTGGTAAATGGATAGAACTGGAGAATATCACGCTAAGTGAAATTAGCCAAACTCAGAGTCAAAGGTCGTATGTGTTCTCTGATAGGTGGAAGCTATTGTGAAATATGGGGTAGAATGGAGGGGGGAGGAGGGACGGGATAAGGGAAGAACAGTGGGATGGATCTGACCCAACTTCCCTGTGCACCAGGGAATATATGAATGCACCACAGTGAATCTCAGCCTCATGCACATCCCAAGACACTAACAAAAAACACAAACCTGTTAACTAAATAGCAGAAAGACCAGAGGAGCAGAAGGAAGGGAACAGGGAAGGGAGGAGGGGAGGGGAAGCGGAAGTAGTGGGGATTGGATTAGAGCAAATTATATCCCATGCTTTAATAATTATGTCAAATGAATCCTAATGTTATATATAACTAAAAAGAACTACTAAAAAGAAAAAAAAACAGTACCAGCTATTATTACTAGCACTGTTAGTACTGAGTTCTAGTACTATTAGTACTAGGACTTGTGCTTCTAGTTACTATTAATATTATTAGTAATAGCAGCCCTAGTCCTATTTTGTAGAATGTATCTGCTGGCTTCCTGAAGAATCAAGGGCCTGTCCTGTAGAGCACCAAGTCACTGCTGATCCCAGCAACCAGGGCGTGGTGGTGCTGGGGATAATGCTTACTGGTGATGATGATGATGATGGTAGTGATGGAGCCAGTGTTGGTGGGGTTGATGGTAGTGAGAGTAAGAGTGATGGAGGTGAGGATGGTAGTGGTAGTGATAATGACGATGATAGTGATGGTGGTGGTGGTGGTGATGGTAATGGTGATGATGGTGGTGGTGGAGGTGATGATGGTGATGATAGTGGTGGTGGCGGTGATGATGATAATGATGATGATGGTGATGGTGGTGGTGGTGGTGATAAAGATTATGATTGTGATGATGACAACAATGTTAGTGATGGTGATGATTGTGATGTTGTTGGCAATGGTGGTGATGGTGATAGTAATGGTAGTGGTGGTGGTGGTGATGGTGATCGTGATGATGATAACAGTGATGTTATGATGGTAATGGTGATGGTGGTGGTGATAAAGATGGTAATGGTAATGATGATAGTAATGTCAGTAGTGATGGTGATGGTAGTGATGGTGATGGTGGCAATGGTGGTGATGGTGATGATTGATGGTGATGATGGTGATGGTGATGGTGATGATGATAGCAATGTCAGTGGTGATGGTGATGGTGGTGGTAATGATGGTGATGGTGATGATGATGATGGTGGTGATGGATGGTGATGGTGATGGTGATGGTGATGGTGATGATGATAGCAATGTTAGTGGTGATGGTGATGGTGGTGATGGTGATGGTGGTGATGGTGGTGATGGTGATGACAGTGATGAAGACACATTGCTAAATGCAGATATTTCTGGCAGCTTCTGACCTGGACTCTTCTGTCTCTTTACCTCTCACATCTGAGCCGTCTCTCCCACTGTCCTGCTCCAGCTGTCTCTTCCAAATGATAGCACCCCACCCTTTTCCTCCAGCCTCAAATGTTTTCACTCACCAAAGCCCACAGACACTGATTCTGTGCAAACAGACTGCTTGTAGCCCACATGATGAGTAAGCCCTCGTGGCTGTGTTGATTCAGCAGTGACTTTGGGGGTGGCAGAGGGGGAGGCGTCACGCTGTGTAGCAGCTGAGCAAGCAGGAGTTCACAGAGGAGGCCTCCCCTCCAGCAGTGGGGCTGGGTGGGACCTGCAGGCACACGCCCTGCTTCCTCCTGGGGTCCGGCTGGGCGGCCTCAGCCTGGGGAGGCCCTGACTGGACTCCTGCACATTTCATGACGACTTTGCCTGATTCAAAACTCTGACCCATCTGGGGGGAGACCACAGTCTGCAGGCTGCCCGCCTGGTGGACGCCACCCCCTGAAACCTGCCATCAGTGGTTCCCAAAGGGAGGTCTGATTAGTTTTCCTTTCCTGTTTGCTCCTCATGCAGACCGACCCTTTGCCTATTCAGGTGGGCAGCGGTGCTCAGCTGTGCTCTATGGGGGATGCCTTTGAGGTCCAGAGTGGGTCTGTATTTATAGGTGCTGGCCGGGGTGGTCTGCTCCAAGGCTGCCTGCTGCCTGCCAGCCCTGTTCACCTCGAGCTCATCTCTTCCCTCCAACAGCCCCAGATTCCAAAATGCTCTTTAAGATAAAAATTTTAAATGATCTTTAAAATGAAAGACACATTTTAATGATTCTCAAATGCTTCGAAGGAACACACACACACATGCGTGCGCATGCGCTCCCAAACTACCTTCCAAGAAGCCAACAAGGAAATGGACAGTCTCAGCTCTTCCCAGCTCAAAGAGCTTCTCTGTGCCTCAGTTTCCCCACAGAAAGCCCTACCTGTCCTCTCCTTGGAACTCCCTGAAGAGAGGAGGGGAGAAGTGATGAGCTCCCACCTTTCAGGGCATGGACGCAGTGTGGCGGGGCGAGGCGCAGGGAACCAGATGTGTCAGAGCAGCTCTGACCAAGAGTCCCCCCCACCTCCCCGGCCTCACATGTGCCTGGACTCCACAATGCTGAGGAGCTCAGGCAGGATGAGACTCACAGTGCACGTGACCTCATCTGCCACCCATGACACAGGACGGGGGACGGAAGAAAAGGCCAGGTCCTGGCTCTTCTTAGCCGTCTGACCTCCACCAGGCCACTTGGCTACTCGGCCTCAGTTTCCTCATTTGTCGAGGAAAGGAAGAATGACACCCGTCCATCGAACACGCACGGATGTGGGAGGCAAGGCCTGCGGAGCTCAGCACGCACAGCTGGGCTCAGCAAAGTTTCTGCTCTTTTCCCCCCTGACTCGGGGGCTGGACACATGGGCCCACAGGCTTCCGCCACAACAGGGGTGCAGGATCGGGCACCGTGGACCTCCCCAGTCCATCGGAGGGGGAATCAGTGTCCTCCTTAAATGCCACCTCTTGGCTCCTTGGAGGCCCTCTTGTCCCCGGGCCGGGTGCCTTTTCTGGCCGGACCCTTCCGTCTGGTGCACATGCCAACCTCCTCCTCTGATCCACTGACCACTCTGATCTCAGCTTGAGTCCCCTCCTCAAGGGGCTCTCCTCTGGCCTCTGGTCCATCAAGCAGCCTCGTGGCACGCTGGCTTTCCTTTGGGCCACTGCTGGAGGCCCGTGCTGCCTGGACTCCCGGAGGCGCAGTCCACTCTGGTTTGCTCCCAGCGGTGCCTCAGTAGCACTCGACGAGTATTTGGTGAGTGACTGGGACAGAGAACATGAGGCCCTCCCTCCTGTGCTCCGGCCATCTGCTCCTCCCTCAGTGCCCTGGGTGCCACAGACTCTCGCTGACCACTGTCCGAGAACCGTTCTCACTGTAGCAATGGTTCACCCAGAAATCCGGACTCCATCAAGGCCCTCCAAAGTGTTAGTCAGGCTCCCTTCAACTGCTCTG